GGGATCACAGGTGGGCCAGTCAGGGAAATGTCTAAAACAGAAACCACACGGTCATTTCATATAAGGAACTGGTTCAAATGCTGTTAACGGAGAATGGGAAAAGGAGATACTGAGGTATCAGAGGTCATAACTGCCGGAGTGCCTGCGTCCCCCACAACCACCAGGGGTGTGAGCAAAGGACAGAGGCTGGGATTAATAGAAACAGGCAGCTCCAAGGAGGCCACCCAGGGCTGGAACACAGCCCTCCAAGGCGAGGGTGCCACCAGCTAGTGCCCTTGTCTCAGGGGCCATGATGAAGCTGGACCAGCTGTCAGGGTCAAGGGCATGGGGCTGGAAACCACAGGAAGGGGGACATTCCTTCTCCTTCCTTTTCCCACTCCCACTCACTGCAGGCCGAGCCCTCACAGAGCAGCAGACAAGGCAGAGGTGCAGTGTGCAGGGCCAGCTCCCACATCACAGAGCAGAGAGTAAAGGTGACTCTGAGGCCGCCTCAGGCCCTGCACCCATAGTCCTGCTCCCCTTTGCAGTTGACAGTGCATACTCCAATGCACCAATGCCTGCTTGTTCACACCTGTGACCCCTGAGGCGCAGAGAGCAAAGTGCAGGCCCCAGGGCAAGGGTGTGCAAGGGCAGCAAGGCCTGGCTAGGCCCAGAGGATCTGACCTCTACAGTGCCAGTTGTGCTCTCAGCAGCCCCTGGAGTAGAAAGGTGGATGGTCCACGGGGCCTGCTAGCTCTAAACCCTGGGATCCCTTTCCTGAACCACTTGCCACAGTCACAGCACAGGCCAAGCCAAGGTGTGTAGGAAAAAGCAGGGAGAGACAGTGGGGCTAGGGAGACCAGGCCCAGGAGATCAGTGTGAGAAAGGAGCCCTGCTGGGCAGAGAAAGGAGCGGGGGCATGAGGGCTGAGCCTCACCTCCCTCCCTGCAGTGATGAGGTCAGGCCTGCTGACCAGCAAATGCTATGAGCCTGCAGGTAAAGCCATGTGTTTGGGAGAACATGACTTAGCTCTAGGCCTCATTCACATTCCACAGCTCCAGGGTCTTCCTGCTGCCCAATAAGCACAATCCTGCAGACATGGTCAAATCTGTTGGTAACGTTGATTGGTAACATTGGCAACTGATTGGTAACGTTGATGCAGAGTCCTGGTTTTTATACTGTAATTCAGACCAGTTCTAAGTGATGTTTCAATAGGTCTATGAAAGGCCAGCAGAGAGCCTTCCCTGGATGTTTCTCAGTGAGTGGATGGATTGTGGGAGAGGGAGAGATGGATGGATGGATGGATGGATGGATGGATGGATGGATGGATGGACAGATGGAGGGTAGGATGGATGGAAGGAAGGAAGGAAGGGCGGCTAAGGTGGTAGTGAGTAGATGGATGGATGGGCAGATGGATGGACGGATGGATGAGTGGATGGGTGGATAGATGTCTGAGTGGATGGATAAATAGATGTCTGAGTGGATTAATGCATTGGTGGGTGGATGGGTAGGCAGCTGGGTAGATAGGTAGATGGATGAAGGAGGAAGGGATGAGTGGTGGGTGGATGGATAGATAAATGGATGGATAGGTAGGTGGAGGGGTGGATGGGCAGGTGAATGAGTGGATAGATGGGTGGATGCATGGATGGATGGATGGATGGATGGATGGATGGATGGATGGATGGATGGATAAGTAAGTGGATGGGTGGATAGATAGGTGGATGGATAGGCAGATAAGGTGGTAGGTGGGTCAACGGATGGATGGGTGGGTGAGTGGATCGGTGGATGGCTGGATGGATGGATGGATAGATAGATAGATAGATAGATAGATAGATAGATAGATAGATAGATAGATAGATAGATAGATAAGTGGATGGGTGGATAGATGGATAGATGTCTGAGTGAATGAATGCATTGGTGGGTGAATGGGTAGGCAGCTGGGTGGATGGGTAAGTGGATGAAGGAGGGAGGGATGAGTGGTGGGTGGATGAATAGATGAATGGATGGATAGGCAGGTGGAGGGGTGGATGGGCAGGTGAATGAGTGGGTAGATGGGTGAATGCATGGATGGATGGATGGATGGATGGCTAAGTAAGTGAATGGATGGATGGATGGAGGATAGATGGATGGGTGGATGGATGGATAAGTAACTGGATGGGTGAATTGATGGACAGATGATGAATGGATGGATAGATAGATGTCTGGGTGGATGGGTGGGCAGCTGGATGGATGGGTAGAAGAATGAAAGAGAGAAGGATGGGTGATAGGTGGATGGATGGATGAATAAATGGATAGGTAGGTGGATGGGCAGATGGGTAGGTGGATAAGTGGGTAGATGGGTAGGTGGATAAGTGGGTAGATGGATAGGTGGATGAGTAGGTAGATGGATAGATAGGCCACTGATTGATTGAGTGGATAGATGGATAAATCAATTGATGGGTGGGTGTGTGGATGAAGGAGGGAGGGATGGATGGGTGGGTGAGTGGATGAGCCACTGATTGATTGAGTAGATGGATGTATAGATGGATTGATGATGAGTGGGTGGATGAAGGAGGGAGGGAGGGAGGGAGGGAGGGAGGGATGGATGGATGGATTGATGGATGGATGGATGGATGAATACATGGTTGGATGGGCCACTGATTGAGTGGGTGGATGGATGGCTGAATAGTTGGGTGGAGGATAGATAAGTGGGTGTGTGGGTGAGTGGATGGATTGATTGATGCATGGATGGATGGGCTGCCTATTGAGTGGGTGGATGAGTGGATAAATGGGTGAGCAGGTAGGTGAATAGATGAATAGATTGATGAATAGACAGGGGGGTGGATGAATTGGTAGATGGGTAGATGGAGGTATACATTGCTGGGTGGATAGGTGGGTGAATGGATGAAGGATGGAGGTATGGGTAGGTAGATGGATGGTTTAGTGGATGGGTGGGTGGATGGACTGACAAATGGCATGCTCCCAGACTGTTTGTCCTTGGGTGGAGTCATGCAGGTATCTATTGCAGCTGGGCCTGAGTCAGTCTCTGAAGAGAGAAGTGGAGACAGCGAGCAGACAGATGAGGAAGGAGAACTGGACTCAGAGGCCCAGGCCCAGCCCTTTGGCAACAAAGTAAGTCATCTCCAGTCACCCCCTCTTCAGCCAACTCAATTCCACCCCACAGCTGGAACGTCAGGTTCTGATTTCCTGAAAAGCTCGATGGCCTCTCCACAACTCCACCAGTTCCTACTGCGTGAGCACCAAGAATCTGCTGCCCTTTCCCAGCCCTCAGTAGTCTCTGAGATCATTGGGCACCAGGCAGGAGCAGTGCTTCCACCATTAGAAACCTCAAAAGCAATGTGTGGGATAGGCAAACCCTGCTGAGTGTGTGGCTGTCGGGCAGGCAGAGGTCCCGAAGAGCTCTCAGGGGTCCTGAAAGCAGCTGCCTTTGCAACTTTCAGAA